AAACGATTGATTTTAAAAGGGCTTTAAGATGTACTTGAATTTAAGATTTCTCACGAAATCCGTTTTAAAGTCAAAATTAAATGGCCTGATTGAATTGGCTAGTTTTAGAAAGGCTTTTAAAGAGTATTTGAAATAGGAGTTCAAATGCTGCTCTGTTTGAAAGATATTTTTAGAACGTTTTATCTTAACTGAAATTAAGAAAAGCTTTAAGAAATTTAGTGATTCACTTATTTGAAATTATTGTTACAAATTATGAAAGTATTCTTTCTTATATTAAAAAAAAAAAATGTTCCGCAAATTTTAAGAAACCCCAGTAAGTACAAGTTAAAGTTTAAGTTACAGTGGCGGCCTCATAGGAGGGGCGTCACACATGAGTTGTCTATCTTGAGTGTTTTGAGAGCTGTAAGATCTGATATTCTATCTAGTCAACAAGCAAGCTATCTGCCCGTACATTGCGAAGGATTTCATATCCATCCATATGATGGCAGTAGAAATTCCAAAAAGACTGAAAATGAAAAGATTTTATGCTTCTGAAATTCATTTTATTAAGGAGATTCCAATCAGATTTCAACCCTGATTAAGTGGAGACATTCTAGGCCTCTTTCATATCCGGGTGATTCATTATTTAAGGAGAACCTCATGTATTTCTCTATGTGTACATAGGTTGAGAACATGAGAGTCCAGTCAGAGAAAATTTGAGTGTTCTCATTTGTACTTAATTGTGAAAGAAAAGTAGAGACCCTAAGCTTTATTTGTTATTCTCAACCCCGTAGTCTGCGGACTTTTTGTGAGAATCTGTAGTAGGTGCGAGGAGCAGCCGAAGGCAGATCATTGCGCTTGGAGTAAGTCAGGAGGACTGAAGGTGAGCATCATATTTGGAGTAGGTTAGGAGGACTGAAGGCGAGCAGAAAATTCAGAGTAAATCGATGAGTATGAAGGCGAGTCTAGAGGAATCATCATGCGTTAGGCATTGTTGTAGATTTAGAGCTTTCCTGTAATTCTAATAGTTGCAACTACATTTGATGATAACGGAATCCTCTTTATGTCTGGTGTGATTAGCACCCGTGGTTTTTTTTCCTAAAAGGATTTTTGACCACGCTAAAGAACCATATCGCGGTGTTCTTTTATTCTTCACAATTTAATTTACGCTGTAATTTTAGTTTTGTCTAATTGATTAAGGAGTTCAATGCGCTAAGAACACTGATTGTTAGTCCATCTGGTCTAAATTGGTATCAGAGCACGTCATTTGCCACCCCCCCTAAATGGTTCAAATTATTTGATGTACGGACCGTGGGAGAAGGACCAAATGTACGGACTGCGAGAAGGAGTTTCAAATGTCGAGCCACCCCTCCTAAATGGTTCAAATTATTTGATGTCATTTGCCTTTGTGAGGTTCAAATTGTAACTAATTAGTGGATTTTTTATGAGCAACTAATCGAAACGACGCCAAATAGAAAACAACAAAAGCATAAAACGACATAATTTTAGCAACATCAAATAAGTAGAACGACACCCAAAAAATTCAAAACGTAAACGATATCAAAAGTATAAAACGACATAAAATCTGTAAATCAAGACAACGCTTAAAATGATTACAATATATGAAATGATGAAAACACTATCAAGCATTACCAAAACGTCATGAATACTGGATAAGAAAGGAGGTCAGTTAACAGCATGAACTTTTTAAAAAAGAATGCTATGTATTCATACTTTCTCTCTTCTTTTTCTCTTCTACTTTTTTTTTTTTTTTTTTCATTTTTTGTTATGGTCCAAGTTACACTTTTGGAAATTAACTTGCAATCATTGACGTTATGACAGATTGAATTTCTTGAAAACAACCAAATGTTACATTAGTTGGAGCTGAAAACTACAGCAAAAAGATTATAGGCTAAAAACAGTACCGTCAAAAGGAACAAAAAGAATAGCACACCTACTTTTAAATTTAATGAAAATTTCACGGGAATCATGCGGTGAGAAATGCAATTTTGCTCTACCAGTAGGAATTGTTGTTTGAAAATTAAAAAAGAAAGAAGAAACGTAAGTATGCCTTCCTTTCGAAGCCTTTCGTGTGGCTGATTCTGGTACGTCTGTAGACATGAAACACATTCATCAGTTTGTTCTAATTAAGGTCATGAATTCCTGTATTCTTCTTATATTAGATTGTTTATAACAAAACAATAAAGAGAAGACAACTTAGAAGCTAGTTCCTTTCAAAGTTTCAATGCCATTCACGAGATCCTGGATGAGTTATAGACCTTTATAAAGCAAAATTTTATGAATTTGAAACTACTTTTTATCTTTTCTCTGAGAAAATGGTTATCTATCTTTAATAACATAATATGAATGTATCACAATCATAAATCTAAGGACAATATAGAAATGCACATGATTGAGGGCCTTATCTTGATACAATGAAAACATCTCACCTCACAGAAGATTTTTTGGATTTGAACGGACAGCAGTTAATACTTGCAAATTCCTACAGATTCAGGATGCTTTTCATCAGATTTCATTATAGTCGATTACTATTCTCGGGATTTGTTGGTCAATGGAGTAAGAGGACGTAACTACTAGAAATAGAAGATCCGAGGACCAAAAAATCGAAGAACAAATTAATTTGGGAACCGGTTGTTATTAACTAAAATGAGCAAAAATTAGAAGTATAATAGAAAAATACCCGAAGAGAAATTTGAATGATGCTGAGGATGGGGAGGGGGGAGAAACGACTTAAGTATGCTTTATCATATTCATTCAACGTTGAGTTCTCCGGCTAACAATGCCTGCAGTGGAAAGATGTACAGTTTATAAACCAAATTGCAGCAAGTTAAAAGGGAAAAAAATAATAATAATTGCCACAGAAGAGGAAAACTAACCATTTCTTTGTCAAGTTCCTAATGCTTAAATGAGTAAGAGAAAGGGAAAGTCCTTCTTCTGGCAAGCAGTCTAAACTTTGCAATCCCAAATACGAAATTCTTGAAGAGATGTAAACTAACCACAGCAGATGTAAACTAACCATTTCTTCCTCATGTTTTGCTCTTCCTGCATTCCAAATTCAGAACAAACATATTAAACAGAAAATTTTAGTGGCCCAAATCAAGTTATAGACACAATGTCACGCACATAAAGTCTGCTTGTTGATAATATATTAAATATGAAAACTAACTCTAAGAAAATTCACACACAAATATGAAAAGTAAAGCAAAAAAAAAAAAAAAAAAAAAAAAAGTGTCTTAACGCTAAAGTAATTGGGAAATATATATAGAAGAAAAAGAAACAAATTTATCAATTGTTATTAACTAAAATAGAACGAAATTCATATTTATAATACCTGAAGAGAAGATTGGAGCGCACTGACGATGGGGAGGGACAGAACTGCGTCATGCTTTCTCATACGTTTTCCGAATCGATTCTTATGTAGGGGATGTGTTGAATCTTGGGCCAATCCTCCCCTGTTCCTCTCTGGCACCGCTCTTTTAACAGAGGACAGCCCAAGATGAATAAATTAGTAAGAGAAAGGGGAAGCCCTTCTTCTGGCAAGCTCTCTAATTCTTCGAAGTAATAAATTTTCAAATGTTGAAGGGAGATGAGTTGCTGAAAGCCTTTTCTGTTTAGGGCTTTAAGGTTTCTGAAGGACCAGATCCAAAGAGAAGTCAAAGTGGATGGAAGCAGCCCTTCCTCTGGAAATGAATCCACCGCTTCTTCACATCCCTCGAGCCATAATCTTTGAAGAAAGGAGAGTCTTTGCAAATCCCAATTCATACGGTCTGCAATGAGCATTGGGCACTTATGGATATCAAGTTGCTTTAAAGTAGAGGGCAAGCCCATTCCTGAAAATGACTCTAATCTTGGACAGGAGTCTAATTTTATACGCTCAAGAGAGGGATATGCGGAATGAATCTCCACTTGACTTGTTGGAAATACGCTCACCATTTCTTCACAGGCCAGAATCTGAATTGTTTCCAAGGATGGAAAACAACCAGCGGGTAGTCCAACTTTTAGTTTCTTACAGTCACGTAAATAGATTTCCCGTAGACGAGGGATAAGTTCTCCTCCTTGCTCAACACCAGAAAATGACCAATTCTCCAACAAATTCATGCGCCTGATTCTCAAGCTTTCTAAGGATGGAAATGGCTTTGTCAAGGAAGTAACACAAAATTCATCTCCTATACTTTCCAACCCATTCATATCTGCAATCTCTAGCTTTCTGAGGGAAGGTAGTTGCCCAAATGAGGGCAACAAGCAACAACGTTCACATTCAATCAGAGACACTTCAACCAAGTCACTAAACGATTTATGTGCTACCCAATCTGGGAATCTTGTACCCCTGTAACCACTGATTTTGAGCTTCTTCAGCTTTCCATGCGGTTTCAACGCATCAAGTACTTGTCTTTCTTTTGTTGAATCATCAATCTCTCCATACTTCCATTTTAAAATAAGCTCAGTAAGATGCTCTTTGTTCTTCAAATCAGCCTGTATCACGTCCCCAACATCCACCACGTTTTCAAGGCCGAAAATACAAAGACTTCCACGCAAAGACTCTAGTTCTCCCAACTCTTTGATCCGAGAACCACCATTTTCGCCCAAGACAAAATAACTTAACGTCTGTAGATTTTTCAACTTGTACATCTGTGGCGGCATCTCTTTTAATCGCGTTCCTTTGATCACGAGATGACGTAGGTTGATTAAGAGACACATGCTAGTTGGCAATCGTGTAATTTCATCACAATATGACAACAACAGTGTTTGCAAGTTATACAGAGTGCAAATTGAACTGGGAATGTCTTTGAGTTTGGTATGAGATAAGTCCAAGTACCTTAAATGCTTTATATTACCAATTGAATCTGGCAATTTTGTAATAGCATATCTAGATAAAGAGATAGCTCTTAAGCATCCTCCAGCTCCTGGCAACAATTTACGCAGGGCAGTATCTGACAGTGACCAGCGAATGATACATGACAATGGTAAAGCTAGGATCATAATTGACCTACGCTCGTTGGTATATGACAATGGTAAAGCTAGCAGGGTCCTCAAACACTTAGTTTTGGATAAAGCTTTTAATATCCTCACGACACTAGATTCTTTTCTAAATGACAAATGACAAATGTTGCTTGTAAGGCCATCCAGGTCATGGCAATCATTTAACATTAAAGAAGACTCGCCAGATATGCGCATAGCTAAATCATGCACAAGATCATGCATAAGGAGAATTGGTCGTCGAAACGGGTCCCTTGATCGTTGAAAGAAGGACTTTGCTATCAGAGCATCTAGGTACTCCTTTCCAACATCTTCCAGCCGTCTTCCTCTTTCAGGTTGCAAAAGTCCTTCCGCCATCCACAACATCACTACAATTTCTCTGTCATCTTCGTGAAACTCGTAATCTTTTGGGAATATTGAGCAATATGCAAAGCATCGCTTTAGATGTGGAGATAACCACTGGTAACTCAACCATAATGCTGGAAGAATATTATTCTTCTGGTTTTCTTGAAATTGCAACTCCCACACGTCACTTTCTAGTATCCCTTTCCACTCCTCCGGACTTGATAACGAGCGTAGAACACCAGCAATTGATTTTATTGCCAAAGGAAGACCCTTGCACTTTCTAACAATTTCTTTACCCATTTCTTGCAAATCCAGATGTATCTGAGAGCCTCTATTTTCAAAGACATGGTTAGCAAACAAGTTCCAGCAATCGTCTTCTGATATCATCGGTAGAGAATATGTTGGAACAGTACCCATCCTTGATGCAACAATTTCACTACGTGTGGTCACAATAATCTTACTCCCGTCAGCTCCAGAGTTAAAAGGGCTCCTTAAAGCATCCCAAAGTTCGTAATTTTCGTTCCAAACATCGTCATGAACCAAAAGAAATCTTTGCCCCATTAATTGAGTTTTCAGTGCATTTTGAAGTTGATATAGGTCCTGGATATCACATTTCTGAGAAGTGATCGCCTCAATAATTATTCTTGTAAGTTTAAAAACATCAAAATCCTCTGATACAGTTACCCACACCTTCAAGGCAAAATGATCTTGGACTCTGCTATCATTGTAGACAAGCTGGGCAAGCGTGGTTTTGCCGATACCACCCATGCCCACTATAGGAATCACAGATATCTTACGCCCGCCATTATGATCTGATAACAACATTTCAATGATGGCCTCTTTCTCAGCATCCCTTCCATAGACATCACAAGCATCCACCAAAGGAGCAGGCAGTCTTTGAGGTCTGTTTTGGTGAACACCTTCTCTCAGACCAAGCTCTTCCTTTTGCCTCAAAAGAAGATCCAATCTTCGAAGGATCTCCTCTACTTCAGATTTCACACGGATTTCAAACGCACTATTTGACTTTGGTATGAAGTTGAAGAACGAACTTGCTTTGCTTCCAGATTGATCACTTTCTTCAATTCTGCGCCGAAGAGCTTCGGTGTTGACTTTGTCCATGACGTGGTCTGCCTCATAAAGCACTTGTTTAAGCTCATCAACCCACTTCTTCACGTTTTCATCTGTGAGTTGTTTCAACTCAGCATCATTCGTCAACTTATTAGCAGACAACAACCTGATCTTTAACTCATCAAGAAGCTTAACAAGGACTTTCTTTCCTCGGAAGAAGTTAAGGACCTCTTGAGTAGCCATCCTATCAAACAAGACATTAAGGAAGCCGGAGAGAAGAGCACTTCCCACGAGTTCAGCCATGGTTTCTCTTCCTCAAAACCAACTGAAATAAGATGGAAATGATGGTAAGCAGTAAGCATTGTAGAGTATAATTATGAGCTTAAAAACAGTTACTAGCTATCAAAAGAAACAAAAAGAATCACTCCAATCTTTCCTATTTTTCCTACTTTTCTAGTGATACTTTTTATTATTATTATTTAAAAATTTTTTTATGATGGAGTGGTTGAAAGTTATATAAAATATTCTTCGTTTAATATTAACTCTTTGATTTTATTCATTTGCCTATATGAAGTTATTATTACTTAAGATATTTGCATAATAATGCTCTTCAAAATGTTGATGAGTTTCCTTAACGTTTGAAAAAACAGCTCTATCGACGTATAAAATACAAATATATTTCGTACAATTGCTTGTACAATATCATTAAATTTCAAGGATTCAAATTAGCGGCTAGAAGTTAGGTAGAGCTTAAAAACAACTACTTCAAATGAAATGACATTGAAATAAGAAAAATAAATTGACGAAAAAATTAAAGCAAATAATATATACTGTAACTATTTCTGTTCTTCAACCATGTTAATTTAGCCATATTTTTACATATTTTTCTTTTATTATTCAAGAGAGGGTCTAAAAATTAAAAATAAATATAAAAAAAAAAGCCGAAAACATTACAACGGAATTTAGAAAAAAAGATTCTTTAAAATGATTATTATATAAAATATTTTCCTAGACATATATCAGCGTGTGAAAGGAAGAATAAAAAATGCTGGACGTTTAAGAGTTGCAATATATATGTTTTGCTGGCAGCAATATATATATATATATATTTGGAACCACGTCACCACCCACCCCCTTAAATAATACCTTTTTTTTACAAATCTTGTTTTTTCAAAAAAAAAATATTACTGGTAACATCTACCATAATATATGTATATAAATTTTTTTTAAAAAATCAATTATACCTTAAGTTTTGGCTTTTAAGTATATCCTTATATAAAATCTCAATTAAACCAAAAATCAATTATCTCCTCCATATAACTTCACAAGTTTCATGACTCTTTAAACATTAAATTTAACTTTATTAGAAGAAGCTTATTTTATTTTATTTTATTTTATTTTTTGAAAAGAATGATGCAAATTGATAAATAGAGGTAAAAAAATTGTCGGACTGGAGTTATAGCTCAAAAAGTTTTGATTTAAATCACGGTCTACATCCAATATTTCATTATTAAAAAGAAAAAGAATAACAAAATATTCACGGAATTAAATCACATAACTATAAAGTAGAAGGTGAGAAGAAAGAGATATGCCTTTGGAGAATTAAGTGAAGATCTTAATGCTAGTTGTAAACAGGAGAAGATGACTTTGGTTGTAGCAATCTTTGTGCTTCTCTTTAATATATCTCCTTTGAATGATGAAAGTTTTCTCCTTCCAAATGATCTGAAATAAGATTGCTGATCTGGATGGGAAATCACTCTAGCGGAGAATAACAAAGACTTTTGCTCAATGAAAATATCACTGTTTTTCCTCACCTATCTTTCTCCCTCTTTTCCTACCCCAATTTACTCGTTCGGTGAAGACAATAATTTGTGGTTCCAAGAACTTGCAAGGTCCACTTAATTTTTTATGACGGAGTTGTTGAAGCTTAAAGAGATATATATATATATATAGATTAGGGATTACCGACCACTTTTTCAGAGCACATGACGAGAGGCAAAAGCATTCTACTTACTCTTTAATTAAGTTGCTTATTTTGATATCATGTTTAATATATGATAATGTAATTTAACAATACTATGAGTGGCTTTGAGTCTTTGCACATTGCTCTGGGAAAAAAAAAAAAAAAAAATCTACCGACCAATTGGAGGAACCGATAAGTCATCTCCATCTTTTTGAAATACGAAAGCCAAAATGTTCAATAAAGTTGGGTGGTTCTTTAATTGGTCAATCATAACGTTAGTATCAAATTTTTTTATCATTTAATATCAAACTAAAAAGGTATGTAGAACAAACATATATAAAGGCTAAGAATAGAGAACCGCCAGAGATTATCATATACCTCTCTCAAATGTTAGAAATCAAAGATCACACAAGTTTGGAACCATTGAAATAATTCTCCCCGCCGTTCTTCTTGTTCGAGATGGTGGGATCTCGTTGGGAATGCCAGCAGATTAGTCGGGTGAGATTTGAACTGAAAACTATGGGGTTTGCAGTAGGCGAAAGACAACAGAGGAGACAAGGATTGCAGTCGTCATGATCGGGAAATTTATCGAAGAAATTATTGTATAAGATAAAATTTTTTAAAATTCTCTATATCATAAATATGAATACTTTCATGATAAGTATTTGTTAATATTAGTATTGAATAGTAAAGTATAAGCTAAAAGTCAAAAATTTCTGAACTGTGATACAATTACCGAATTTTAGATTGTAATCAAGAAAGTGGCATGGAACATTGTGTTATTCCCATAAGAAGGCAAACACATTAATACTAAGTTTAAGAAATGATAAATAATTGAAAAACATCAATTCTAGGGTTTTAAAAACAATCAAAATGAAGGACGTACGAAAAAAGGGTTCGGAAGGCTGAACTGAGAAAATTAGAATTTTTGATCGATTAGGGTTGACCTAGTCAAAATTTGTTGACCAAGAATCGACTAATAGGTCACTCTTGAAAACTTAGTCAAGGTTGAGTAAAGTTGACCAAGTTGACCAACTGTCTAAAAAACGCAGGTAAAACGCGCACTTAATTGGAATTAAAGGTGGCACATTTTATGTAAAGTTAAGAGTTTGAACAATAACAAAGGGTTCATAAGAAAACTAGTATTAGTTTTTGAGAAAATTCTTACCAATCCATTCGCTAGTTGAAGAGCAAAATACGGTGGCACAAGTCCCTTGCTTCAACAGAAGCGAAAACTAGTAACGCAATTTCACTTGTTTTTGTGTTTCGATTTCACCACCCTCTTCTTTAGTTTGCATCATGTACCATTAACTTGAACAATTGATAAATATTCCGAAGATGCTTAACTTGTACTAAGAATTGGCGAATCTCGAGGCAAATTGCACAGTCCATGATGCTGCAACTCCTAGAAAATGTCCTGCTG